TCGGGCTAAATTGTGTTTTGATGAAACCCTCTGGTAATGTACTAACTGCCAGTATCTCAGAATGTGGTCACATTGGGAGAAAAAATAATCTTTGCTGAGAAAATTAAGGATTTTGCTTATTTATTTATTTTTTGTTATTCTTTTTTCTGGTACATTATAGGGGTGACATTATGGGGACTTGTGTGTACTAGGCAATCATTCTACCAATGACTGCATTCTAAGCCAGAATTAAGTCAATACAAATTCATAGAGTGGCCTTCAATCCATTATGACTGGAAATCATATAAGAAGAGGAGATCTACAGAGGAAGTACAATGAGAAGCCACAGGGTGATGTTACCTACACAGAGTCAACAGGCCTCAAAACAAGCCAACCAATGACACCTTGATTATAGACATCTAATTTTGATAACTGGGAGAAAATTAATTTCTCTTGTTAAACTACATAGTTTGTCATACTTGGTCTTAGGAGTCCTAGAAATTAATACATTCTAGAAGTATAGAATGGAATATGGAACCTAGAGGTCAGGGACACTAAGGGAATGGATAAAGGGGAAAACAAAAGTTCAGAGAAACTTAGGAACTGGAAAGGGTGCTGGGGGACAGAGAAGAAATGGAACCTGGAGAAGAGGACTGGACATTACAGACGCATGCTGAATGCATGTAGCGAAATACTGCAGTGAGCCCCAATAATTGTAAAGTAATGAAATAATGTAAGCTGAGAAAAAGATGAATATACTCACAAACCACTAAAGAATTAGCAAGGCCATATGTTAAAAACGTTGAATCACTTTGTTCTTTTGGGCATGATAAGCTTTAGAAGAGATGACTTGTATTGGCATTCACGTGGTGCGGGTGGATCCTACTCTTCTTTGTGGTAAAACATCATCAGAGAAAGTTGCCCTATTGATATTTTTAATTCCTCCCATCTTCAGTGGATGAGCAGTTTCGCTTCAGCTGGCTCTCTAATCCCTTACTCTATTTTGTGCTGTTGCTAGTATAACTGAATACTTGAGACTATGTAACTTATAAAATACAGACGTGACTTTGGCTTATTATTCTGGTGGCTGGACATGGTAGCAGTACCCTGGTGATGACTCTGGATACATCACAATGTGGAAGAGAAGCAGAAAGGGAACTAGCAAAGGCAGAAATGCATACATGTGGCCATGGTAAGAGACAGGGAAGAAACTGGCTCTTGTTATTCATTACAACCTGCATCCATTCTTACGAAATTTGACAAACTCTTGGGAGACAGTGATAATCCATTCACAAGGATGGAACTTCCATGTTCAAGTTACCTTCCACTAGTCCCTGTTCTTTAAAAGCTATTACCTCAACACCAATGCACTGGTTATCATGCTTTCAGCATACCAACCTCTAGGGTGCAAACCATGTTCCCATCTCAAGCACTCATTTCCACATCATTATCCAATCACATTGACTGAGGTCACTTTAACATATGGCTGGGTGTAAAAGACCTTGGGACACACATCAGGCTTTGAAAAGAAATGTAATTCAGTTCATTTTTCCTTTGGGAAATTAAAATCACTTGTATGTTACCTATATGTGTCCTCAGGAAAATGACAAATCTAGCAAAAGTGTCAGGTGAAACCATCCCTATTTCCCACTTTGGTTTGTGGAGGATAGAAATGGAATGAAAGTTTGCAATTGGGGGAAATACATAAAATAAAGAAAGGGGAGAGGTTTTAGAGCTGGTCACGACTAAACCACATTGAAACCAGAACCAGAGTAATGTTTGAAACAAATCAGATTTCCTGTCACATTCTAAATCCATGACTAAAAGACAAATTTCTCTGAATCATCTTAACAAAAAATAAGGGGGGGTGGATAAAATTTTACAATAGCAACAGAGAGAAAAATGATACCATTGTCCAGGCTTCAGGAGTCAGAATAATTAATAACTGTGTCATATGAGAAGAGCAAATAAAGGGAAGGGAAGGGGTGTATCTATATGATCACTGGACCATATACAATTGCAAGGGAAAACAAATTGCCAGGGTAGTGTTGCAAATAAAAGCATGGTGGAAATATTGTTTGAATGCTCATGTGATTCTTCTACTGAGCCTTTAAGTGGTGGTGTCTAGGAGTGCACTGGTTATCTTTATTTTTAGCAGTTATGTAATCTGATGTCTCTGAAAACCAATTAAACACCTTCCTGAATCTACTGGGAATTTTCCTTAAGTGGTTCTCTGCCTAGACTCTAGCAGGACAATCATTTCATTTACAACCTCTTGCTGGAGAACATTTCATCATCACAGGTGTTTCCAGAAATGTCTGAAATTAATAAAGGAGGGCAGAATTGTGGTAAAATGCAGTTCTCTATGGACACAGTAGCAGTCTCTAGGGTTTGCTTCACATTGAACACAGAAACTTTCCATCTAAGAGGAGCCGTTTGCTTCTCTACTGCAGTCCTTAGATTCCCAAGAAAGGATTGTTTCTGCCTGCCAGGATATAAGCTTGGGTCCCATGTCATAAACATGAGGCTTCAGAATGACTAATGATTTCCACCAAATTGGCAGGTATGAAATACATCTTTCTTGACTTGTTCTGGAAAATATATCGATCACATCTGGTTTATTTCTCTTGTTTCTTCTTTAAACACGAACAACATATAAGCCTTGTTCCTTGCCATATCAAGACCAGTATCTCCAATAAAACAGCAAGACTGTACACACCCCAGACACTGTATTGCTCAGGTTGGCTACCGCCCTCCAATTCCAGTTCCTCCTCAAGGGCCTGCCCTTTACAGTAGCTGCTGCAGCGACTTACCGACAGTGCTTATGGGATCCTGTCAGGGTCTCAATCACAAAACACGCGCCATCGTTGAGACAATATGCCAGATCCTTGTCTCTGCAGGGTTTGAAATGCTCAGATCGCTCAGTGGAGTATGTCGTAGTATCTATGGAGAAAACAAGGGGAAATGTTGTCAATATGTATTCCAACATGGGGTACTCTTCTCAGAGGCTGGACTTGTGAGTCCAGGACTGTGCACAGGCGATAACCACAGAGAATATAGATTGATAGGACAAATCCTCCACATGAAAAACCAACACAGCTGATATCATCTAGTGTATTCAAGTTGTCTTGTAGTCAGGCCTCAATTTCCACATGTTCTGTATCCTGGGATTTCAGTAAAAACAGATGGAAAATATTCAGAAAAAAAAAAGCAACTGCCTGAGAATAAGTTCACCGCTAATCCTTGAACTCCAGAGGGAGAGTCAGGGGATCGTGAGCTCAAGCATAGCCTGTGCTACATACTGATGTCAAGGAGAGCTTGAGCAGTATAACAACACTGTACAGAAAGATTAAGGCAAGGCTGGATTTATCTCACTGCTAAAGCACTTGTCTAGCATATGCAAAGCCCCAGATTCAGTCCTCAGCACCACATGCAACTAAAATTGCATCTGCCTACACTTTTAATCATTCATATTATTCCATACAGAAGAGACTTTGGCATCTATTTACACAACATTTGTATTATATCCTGTACTGCGAGTACTGGAAATGAGTTAAAGTACACATGTATGAGTGCATATGTTATGCAAATACTATATCATGTTACATAAGGAGTTTAACATCCAGGTACAACCCAATGCCCAGCATGTCTTGGAACCAATTCCTTAATGATACTGTTCCTCATTGCTTTTTAACAATGGAATGCCTCTAGGGAACCCCCATGTGAAGTCACTATTAGCTGAATGATCCTAAGTCAGACACAACACATCCATGTTCATTCATTTCAGTTTTAACCAGCATGCTATCTAAAGGATTGACACAGCATTGCCTTCCCTCTGCTGATGCCAAGTGTCAGCAACCATCTGAACAGTGTATACTGTGATGCTTCTGTGGAAACCCAAGTCAGTTTGGGGGGTTCTTTGCTTATAACTACAACGGGGACGTAGGTAAGTCAATTGTTCTTTCACTTTTCCATTTCATGATATAATTAAAATTCAGGCATTCCAAGTTGTGAAAGATATTCACATGAGAAGACTGATTCTGGAAATATTTAAAGTGACACATTATTGACATTTTCAGCATTCCTTTAAGTGTGTATTTTTCAAAACACCGTTACATTTTTCATTAGCTAGACATCTATATCTGTTTCCCAAATATAAAATGAGCCATAATTATGTCCTGTCTACAGGATCCAGACTCTACTACCACATCTAGACATTTTTCTAGTTTCAGAGCTTTTTTGTTTGCTTGTTTTTTGTCTTTTTGAGACAGGGTCTCCTTGTAGCCCCAGCTGTACTGGAACTCACTATGTAGACCAGGTTGGCTTCGAACTCACAAAGATCAGCCTGCCTCTGCCTCCCAAATTCTGGGATTAAAGGCGTGCACCACCATGCTTGGCAGTTTCAGAGTTTTAAGCAATTAAAGTATTAACACCAATTTCACTGTAACGCCAAGAAAATACATATATTTTTAAGTGAAAGAACAATAAATTATACACTATTTAAGATATTTAAATTTCTTATACATAAATGTAGATTAATAAAAATGTTCAGCAGCTGGGTATATTTTTTCAGCTTTCTAAGAAGGTCACAGTGAGCATCCTGGCCCTGTATCCAAACTGATGGGGTAGGGATCATTCCAAATGGAAACACATGTCTTCCACCTGTAAATGGCTTTAGAAAGATCCTTAGGAAAGCAAAGAAAGACATAACTCCATGTACTTTGACCTTTCTAGCCTCTTCCCACACCATAAACACTCAGATGTAGTTCCATTTATTATTTTAGTTCCCCCAAAGGTCAGGACTTGTCTCATGCCGTTTCCTGTGGGACCACCCTGCTCCTTCATGGTTTTCTTGCTGGAAGATACCTGGCTAATGGTCAGAGCTTCCATAATCTCTTTCCTCTGTGCCCTACACTCCAGTGATCCTAGGTCACAACACGCTCTCAGTGTTGCAGCAGTTCAATTCCTACTACATTCTCCCTTTATGCCATGACTTATGAACAAGTGTTGAGTCCTAATCAAAACTGGTGCACAGTAATAATGTGGTCAACAAATATGACCTTTCTTACATCACAAATCAATGATATGTTATGAATAAAAGTTATAATCATTGAATTCATTATAGTCTTACTAA